AAGTGTGAAAATTTAACACGCATTTCGCCTATATTAATCTAAATGAGGAAAGTTTCAATTGCTAATTATTAATTTAGCGTTTAAAGCTACTGAGAGAGAAGAGATGGGTTTGCGATTTAGGAGTGGTAAACATGTGACGCAACTTCAAATCTTCTGCCTCGCGTTACGCGTTCGATTCCAATTCTTAAATACTTTAAGGATAAAAACTTTTTTTGACATGCATCTTTTTTAAATATTTTTTAAGGGTGAAATTTCTTTGGCTTGCATCTTTTTTTTTTAAATAGTTAAGATAATAGTTTAATAATATAAGCCGCAAACCAGAAAAAAAATGTTGAAACACAATTTTATGTTCAGTAACATAATTTAAATAAACTAAATTTAATGTGGTAATTAAAGTGTAGACTCTAGCAAACACTGAATCTTTGGCTTATTTTCAAAACAGACCGATCCAGTTTAAAATAAGTACACATTTGTGTCGCGTGATATGTATTGAATCTGATTGTAAATAAAGTAAACTGAATCAAGTTAGTAAACAACCAAGGAAGTATTTTTACCCAAAAGATATTTTATGAACTATAAAATAAAAAAAAAAAAGATGTATCATAAACAAACAGTATATGGTTCTAATATTTACTCTATTTATTTATTTATTAAAAAAAAGCGCTTCGTTCTAATGAATTTACTGTATAATTAATTACAAGGATGATAAAAAAAAAAAAATTGAGAAAAAATAAAGTTTAACCCGAAAATAAAAGACCAAATGAGATAGTTAAAAAGAAAGGGTTCTATGAAACAATAAAAGGAAATCTATTTTGTTATACAAAGTAACTTTTAAAAATAAAAAGTATAAAATATAACATTTAAAAGCAAATTTGGTAAAGAAAATGAGAAATTCAATCCGTTATAGATAAATCTAATTATATTTTAACTTTATATATAATATAAGGAGATTGTGGTATGAATGGAGGAGAGACAAGTTAAATAGTGTGTGGAAAACCAAAAAGAAGTTAATGGTCAAAACAACAGGATGTAACCATATATTTTATGGAAAGCTGACACCATAAAAAAAATTTCGTTCGAAGTCACTATTAACTATTTGTGGTTCAGTTATACCAGATATTCTATTAAGTAATTCTTCATTTGCTCGCTTTATTTCATTTACGTCATTCGCAAATGCTGTCCATTTCTCTTGTTGAAATGGAGTTGAAGAATCCCATAATTGGTCCGTTAACGTGTCAATTATAATTGCATCATATACATGTATTCGTTTTGTTTCGAAACTTATGATGATCCTCAAGAAGCTTAGAGCTGTTAATTTTTGGCTTTCTTTTGTCTGTGCTGCGACTAATTTTATATCATAGCGAGTGGGATTATAAATTCTATTATAGTTACGGATCGAAAGAATTTCTTGTTGTGATTGCATTTTAAAAGAAATTATTTGTTTTAGCGCTTGCGTTTAATGAGATGGTTGAAATTCATCGTGTTTATATATCTTCACGACCCTTATCAATCGCATCTCATTTGAAAAATTGAGTCGATAATTAATTTTTTTTAAAATTGAACTGTCAAATATACCACCCTTTCAAACTTATTATAAATAGAATTAGATATTAAGATAAGTTCTTAAGGTTAAGTATAAACAAGGCGCATCACAAAACAAGATGATATTATACCATTTCCGTCATATTAAGGTAAGGGGCAAGGGAATGTCCGAAGGATATATTTAAAGGGATGAAAAATATAGCCGCGGTAACCGAATTAAATTTTCAATAAGACGCGGCGCGGTAAATCAAATAATACGATGACCCTTCTCATAGATTGTTCCAATTCGAATTTTATGTCAACTAATACGATGAATTAACTTGTCCAGTTCGAATATTAAACAAATATGAGAACGAAAGACAAGAAATTGTTCATTTAAAATTAATTAAAATATAAATAATGTGTTTATATGGACATGTGATCACATTTTGTAAATTTTTTTTATAATGAACCTTATTTCGGGAATTAGTCTATTGTTCGTTGAATAGAGTTTTGCTTAATTAATTGCATAAAAGAAACGATTATCACAATGAAAGGGAGTGATATTAAATTTGTGTTACAAAATAAGAGAAGGACGGGACGGGAATCGATTTTAGTCATATTTAACTTTGAAATGGAAAATAAATTTTCTATTTATTGCTTATTATCTGCGGATTAGTACATAAAGTACAGCCATCATGCAATTAATTAATGCACTTCTTGAAAAGGATTCATAAGATGCACTGAAAAAAAAAAAATTTGTTTAATATGACTGTGAATTAACCATTTAGATAATTATAGAATGCAAATTTAAAATGGTTCTAATAAAGGGATATTTTTTTTTTTTTTTTTTAGAAAGAAAAGAATAATAAATAAAGAAATTATTTTGTGCGAAAAAAAAAAAAAAAATGAAATAAAAATTTCGTAATGATAATTGATATTATAAATGCAGGGGGAAGTTGTGCAAGGATCACGTGTGCAATGATTTAAAGGTTTGTCTCTTACCACCGAGAAAAAAAAAAGAAATAGAAGGGATGCAGAAAAAATTTTTTTTAAGCGTTTCCGTTGTTTACAAAAGAGGAAATTCAATAAAAATAATTGTCCGTGTTCGCATTATCATGTAATTATATATGCGAACGAAACCCAGCTGACCGACACAAAACATGTTGCACGTCGGACACAGCATGATGAATTAGTTGTGTGCATATTTTTACTGAAAAATTTCTTTAAAATAAAAATAACAATATCAATGGCTTTTAATATTCACGTGTAGAATTTTCTGTGAAAAATTTTGCATTTTAAAATAAATTGGACATAAAAATTTTTTTTTTTTTTTTTTATCTTAACGTTAACTTTTTATTAGTTAGTTTAATAAGCTCTTTATCATAAAAAATATCTTATGGATTGCGATTATTTTAAACGCTCTTTTTTTTTTTAATATTTATGGCGAATTGCTAAGGTTGCGGGGAATTACCCAAATCCCATTTTGGCAAAAATCGAAACATTTAGATTTCGATGGTTTCGACGACGGCGGGGTTTCGACGGGCGTTAATATCTTAAGTATTGCTTGCGGAATTCAATCACGATGAAAATAAATGAATAAAGTCGAGTACCTTTTCGAAAATAATTTAGACGGTTTCAACGGATTCCGATGGATTTCGATGGATTCGACGATTTCGACGATTTCAAGGGTACGATTTCAATTTAACAATTTATCGGGTTTAAGAGGTTGGATTGTATTACTTACCATAACCTCTTTTTTGTATTCACTTACTTTATATATGCATATCAAATGTAAACAATGCTTTGTTATTTTATAATCCAACGTCACAATTCTATAAAGAAAAACGCCAGTATATCCATACCATATCAAAGTTACAAATAAAAAATCTTATGCATGCTTTGATTGTACAGTAAGAAGGTGAAATAAAATTCAAATTAATATAAATAAAATGTTTAGAAATTTTAAAATTTTGAAATCATATTTGTTAAATGAATATTTTGACATTATATTTAGAATAGAACCGACCTAAAGATCCGCCGGTTAAAATTGAACTCAGGGGGCACTATAAATTTTATAAATTGGTCAAAGTTATCGTAATTATTTCTGACTGAAAATAAAATCTCGGCCAGGGTTAAATTTTCTTAACTGCCCCCAATATCTTAATATTGTGAATTCCTGATTCTGAATTAAGGAATCTTTACTGCTAGTGTGGAGTAATGGAATTTTGATTTTAGGTTGGGTATTACTTAAAAGGGAAATTGAATAATTTTATTTTAATGCATTACGGTAATTTACATCATTAAAGTTAAACACGCTCTCATCAATTTTATTATTTCATTGGGTTGCGTTCTATAAAATGATGCGTCGTGAATATGTTAAGAAACGTTCGTTGTCAACGGATTTTCAGTTCACGACATAAATTATCATAATTATGTGTATAACCCACTTGCAGGCGGTTATTTTTTTGGTTATATGACCGAGCAAAACAAAGAAAGCTATGATTTTCTACTCGCGCAATTTTTTTTCCGAGTGAAATTCATCTTTCTTTTTGTAAAATTTCACGTTTATTTATTAATAAATTCACCTTTACATCTTATGCGGAATTATTTTCTTCAAATTTGTCATGAAAATGTGGAGATGTGTTATCATCCATTGTGTCGGAGTTACTTAATTCCTGAGAAATGGTCAATGAAATGTACATGAATGAATGGTATCAAATTAAGGTTTCATTCGGCGGTAGAATAATTTCTCTAAAAAAAAAAATACATCAATGAATCTATGTTATTTACTTTTATCATCATTTATTTTTTAAAAAAAGAAAACAAAAATTGGAATGACAAACCTATTGGCGTTTTCTTATAATGTTATGTTAACTTATCTATTTCTAATTTCATTAAATAAAAAAAAAAATAAATCTAAAAAAGATGTCTTATCACATGCTAACTTTAAAAAAAAATGTTTTTTCATAAATTTCGACTACGCGTTTGGTTGGTTTCACAACATTCTGGGAGAGAGTCAATAAGTTATAGAATAATTTTAAATGATCTTCTGTGGCTTCTTTCAACGTTAGATTACAAATTTTACAAAGCAACAACGTTACAGATGGACAGTAAATCTCGTATAGTGAATAAAATTAGCACAATGGTCGTTTCGCATGATGTTTTCTTAGTTAATAAAGTGAAAATTCTATATAAAAACACAAAATGATCAAAAAACGCAAAATAATTAATTCGTTGACAAAACATCACTTTAAAGGAACAAATATATGATACAACTTGACATGTCAAACTCACCTAACTTAAACCAAGTTAAACAACTTTCATCAGAAAATGACGATATCACGCTCGACGGGCACCGGGACCGCCATAAGAACTGTGTGATTCCATTCCATAAAACGTATTTACTCTACTCGATTATCCAATTTCTCGAGTTAATTTTCATCAATGGATGAGAAAATCAGAATATTCAGATTCAGATGTCCCAACGCTTTTCCTCTTCACCGTTGATTGATTCCATCCATAAATTTAACGAATGTCAAATTGCTGAAATAACTTATCGTGTAAAATACCAAAAGATGGTTAATCATCCCTCAGAGCATGATTCGGAAATCTTGAATCTACAACATGAACAAGTGGAGCAATGGTTTGATATCGCCTTTGAGGGATACGGATGGTTGAATAAACAAATTCATGGCGGTTCCAAAAAGATGAACCAAAATGATATTATGAAATGTAATATTAAATTAAAGAACATTATGAAAGCCAGAAAACGAATGGAAACCATAAAGAAAAAACGGGAAATCGTACCCAAGGATTTTAAATTCGCACCGTATAAACGTTCAGAATCTAAATAATTCCACTTTTTTTTTATATACGCATGATCGGCTATAAGGTTAAAAAAATAACTAGAGTTTGTGGTTTGCGTGTGACTTCGTCCCCCATTTAGCATTAGGTGAATGATTGTGTAATCAGTTTAATTATACTTTAAAATTTATTACGTATTAGCGTTACTAAAAATAAAAAACCAAATTTTTTTGTTAAAATAATTTATTTTAAAGAGTTTATAGGAAAATATATTTATAATTTTTGTTCTAATCAGTCATATTTAACTTTTATAAAATCAGGACAGGATGTAATAAAGTAATACGCTTGACCAATCAGAGCATCGGCTTAATGTGACTTGCAAAGAAAATTGATGGTCAAGACACAAAGATATTTCAAGCAAAGTTAAAGCTTTATGTTAATGTACTGTAGGAGCAAATGGGGGGGGCGGTCAGTAGAAAAGGGGGAAATCCACTTTTTTAGTCAAAAATTTTTTTATTGATTCACTCTGCTGATCATGGTCATGTGAACAAAACTAGCTTAATAACTAAAA